CTAGTTTTTGGATGGTGTAAATAGTTTGTGTTGTTTTTCCTTTTGTGTATCATAAACTTTGATGTTCTGTTATTAAATGTACATTGGCAACCACTTGTAAATATGATCAGTGACTGACCTCATGGTAAGAAAAATTGCAAAGATAAAACTTACAATGTTTCGAGCCAGATTTCATTCTCAGATTTGATTTATCCAGTATTACCATCAGATGGGATCGTAACAATGCAGTAAAAAAAAGGCAACAGAAACCACCAAAAAGGCAGAAATGCATTACAGATTCTTAGACTCACATTTTAAAGAGCAAAAAGGTGAAAGCAAAGTGTTAAGCATGAGTTGGTGCACCACTGACACAACTTCAGTTATTTATAAAACACATAACTCTTTAATTTATGGAACGGCAGATAACTGACAAAGAACAACAAGCAGTTAAACTTCTTCATGCTTTGGGCACTGAAGGATTAAGAAGAAGAAAATCCTCCAGTATTTCTGACAGTGACCAGAAGGATCTAACAAAGTTTTTCAGATTTTCTAAGATCAACTTACAATTCAAGTCAATTTCAGCATACATAGGCTTGTCTTCATGTCATACTGATAGCAGCCATGTGAAACAATTGAAAAATTTGTAGATAGATGTTGACATGAAGATACCAAAGCTAGTTTAGGCTTATGGAACTTGTCATTGTCTCTACGCCCATCAAATCATTCCAAAAGACACTTGATGCACTGCTAGACTGCTGAAGTAATTGTAGCAGACCAGCATCATCGGCAAGTGATAGTAGGAACTGCCGATGCTGGAGAATCTGAGATAACAAGATGTAGAGCTGGATGAACACAGCAAGCCAAGCAGCATCAGAGGAGCAGGAAAGCTGACGTTTCGGGTCTAGACCCTTCTTCAGACAACTGAAGAACATTAGCTTTCCTGCTCCTCTGATGCTGCTTGGCCTGCTGTGTTCATCCAGCTCTACACCTTGTTGTCATCATCTGCAAGTGCTTGACTCTAGAACAACTATTGCACCTGTCAATAGGTTCAGTGGAACTTTAAAATGCATCGAATATGGCTTGTCTCACCAGTCAAAAGAAGGTCCAGCATTTCATGACATATGCAAACTATTCTCTACAAGAGGACAAAAGTAGGTAGTTAAAGTAATTACACAGGGAAACACAATGTACCACCCAGTACTCCACAGCAACATGTAAAGGAGAGCTAACCAATGAACAATGCCAAAGAAACTTATGTCCATGAAACACAAGCCTGTCAATGAAATGCAAAAGTAACTGCAATGTTATTGCAGGCTCCAGTCTGTCAATAAGTGTGGTAAACTTGACAGATCATGATCACAATCAGAAAAAGCTAAAGCATTTACCTCCATTCCAATCATACACCCCAAAAAGAATGGATAACATGTGCTAAATACCAAAATGGACACTGGTGCAAATGCAAGTGTCATCTTTCATTCATCTTACACAAGAGGTACTCAGAAAACTGTGCAATTTGGTGTAGTTCACACAAGATAAGCTAACTGTTTATAATCGGACTAACATCCCATGCAGTGACACTATCCATTCTAAATGCCCATTTGTATCCTCAACTTGAACCCCAGAACCTTTTGCATTGTTAAAATGGAATGACCGTCCACTATCAGTCTCTCAGCATGCACAGATTTGTGTATGATCATGATGGATGGGGTGACAAATCCATCAGTTGCAACATGAAAGATTCCAGACCATAACATCACTCTCATGCATCGTATTCATAGCTGCTATGACCCCAACTTATGCTGTCCCTGGACAAGTCAAATCACAGGCAGAAATCTGGCTTGATGGAACACATTTGATTTTGCTTTGGCTTGAACAAAGTGGCCTGTCACTGAAACATAAGTATGCAATGCTGCAGATGTTTGCTTTAACAACAAAAAGGAAATTCATTACAAAGAGATCATAGATAAAATAGAATCATCCAAACCATCTACTTATAAAATAACTTCAAAGATTTTAAATACGCAATAAAATTATAATCTGAAAACACTTTTATAAATTGAAAATAATCACAACAGATTTTAGACAGCACCCAAAACATACTCCTCATTCAGTATTTAAAACACAACCCTGGTACAGTTCCCAAAACACCACTCATATAACACTCACACTAGAATCCTTCCAATTGACATTTTGGTAGGTTTAGGTCACTGTTCCTTCAACTTTTAAACTGGAACTGCAGGTAGCTACTTCTTGGAGCACCCATACACTTGAGCTTCAACATACTAAGCTTAAATAACCACTTTCAGGTTTTATCTGGTCTGGGTCTAACATTAACTGTTCACTCTAAGGACCTAATACATTATATATCCTTCTCAGGAGCTCTTTTCCATACAGGTATCCCCTATTCCAAGGTCTTGTCAGGACTGACACTAGCTAAAGTTAAAAGTAATACCGAAAGTATCGCTCCCTCAGCTATAGTTGTTTCAATTTAACTTAAAAAGATGCCAGAACAAACCTTTGAGGTTCCATTATTTGTGTTGGGTCACAAAGAATCTGCAATAAACAAAAGGCCACTAATAGACCATTCCATTCGAGCTATAGCCAGCCTTTAAGAATTGTCTTTTTAAAAACCTTTCCTCAAAAACCACCCTCTAATCCAGTCTGGTCTATTATTTATTAGTCTATTTAATTATTCCATTAGTTTTCCCTGTTACTCACTGAACATGCATATTACCCATTTGCAATTCAAGTACAAGGATACCCATATCAGTCTGCATCTGTGTATGAATCCTTACAATATAATCAGAAATGGGTCCCATTCTTTAAAAGAAGAAAATGAAATGATGTACTATGATATAGCTTCTAGAACAGCCATGCCTGTACCTTTAAGACAGTTGCATTGCATTAAAAAATGTGACATTCCAGTATAAAGATACCCACTTCATCTTGAGTCACACTTTCTGTTTAATGGAGTCAATGTAATCAGTTTGTTATGTGTGGCTACTGTGCAATACACCAGTAACCATAGAACCCAAATGACATATATAAGTTGTGATATTATAACCTTGTATATAGTTAAGGTTGCAAATACATTTTAAGCTATTTGACTCAAGAAGAGCCTAAATATCTGTAGTACATGTTGTGTAGCTAACATATGTAATGTAGCACAAATGGCATCAATGTCTATTGTGACCATTGGTTTTGTTCCCTGAAAAGGTCGGATGAAAGACTTGGACGACTCTCTTTTCAAATTATCCATACCATCAGGTGCTGTCATGTAACTCAGGGCAAGTGAGCCGATGAACCCACCTTTATCAAGTTGTACTTCCTTGATTTGTCCCCCAATGTTTGTATTCTTCAGGATACAGCATTATCCCTTCACCACCATTACCTTTGACTTTATCATGAATATTGTCGTCTGTTTGCCAAAATGTACCTTCTTTGGGGATTGCTGAAACAGGAACTGTTCCTTTTTTGCTACATGCAGAATGTTATTTGACTCTTATGTTTTGGAAAGTGGATTTGACATACAAGTCTATAGTCATTGGATATTACCTCATTATTAGAACTAATGGGCACGTTGATGCAACATACAATACAAGAGAAATTAATATGTAATGAAAGAGATGCATAAGTATTGGCTGACAATCTTTTGAGTACAGGAGGCGTGATCTGATCAAAGTGTTTGACATGTCACATGCCAGAAGAATTCAATAGTGTAGATACAGAGTAACTATTCCTTCTCACAAAGCAGTTAATAATGAAGGAATATAACCATGAAAATTAGAGATTGGTCATTCATAAAGAAAATCAGGAAGTGCTTCTTCAAATGAAGGATAATAGCACTCTGGATCTCTCTCCCTCAAAAAGCAGTGGGTAATTGGTTAACTCAAGTATTTAACACTGAAATTAATAGATTTTTATTTCAGAAGGGACGTGAAACTTAGACAGACAAATTAAATGGAGGTGTAGATCAACTCGTATCCAAGTGACTGGAGGAGCAGATTTAAAGAGCTGAATGGTTTCCCCCTGTTCCTGATGTTGTAGTTCTATACAGGCCTACAGCTGTCTCCTTCCCTGTCAATTCCACAAATGTATTACCAGTGTGAGTGCACTCAATGTTATTCCCCATGGAAATTCCTTCCTGCAGCATTTTCCTACTGTCTTCATGAGGTGTGCAGTGTTCTTTATCTGAGCCTGCTATTTTTGCTTACACTGTCTTCTTGATGTTCCTTTGTGCAGACACAGCAATCAATAACTTTAATAACCAACAGTACAGTAAATGTTACCTCCACTGGAGGCCTATGCTGCTTTTTTACAACGCAATTCTTGCTTAAACTTGATTTTCTTTCTCAATCAGTGAAACAGTTCTGAAGTTCATGTAACATGTACTAAATTGTCAGGTTTCTCAGTTCTCAATGTCTAAAACAGTTAAACTGGTTTAAGGGTTAATTTCTCTCGTCAACATAGATCATCCTAATACTCCATTCCAGCCCAACAAAAGTCTGAACAGTGGAATGTATTTTATGAGTTTGCTGCTCAGCCAGTATGCAATGGTTTTACAAATGCCACAACAGCTTTAATTAGCTTTCCATTCATCATTGCCTTATGGCGCAATACTTACTTCAGAAGCGTTAAAGATTCATTGTATATGCAATATGATTGTTTTGGTCTCTATCATTTCAAATGAGAAAATTGTGCTACACAAAATCACCATAGCAAAATCTTCCAAACCTTTCGTCTCAGGAGCAAGTCGTGTTCAAATTTATGCAAAGAGACATCTCTCTCTTACTTTCTTTTCAAAAAAGAAGAAAAATCTGGTCATAAAGAGATGTTTAAATTTGCCACCTATTGAACAGATTAACTTTATTCTGATAGTAAGCTCAATTGCTTTATTTTTCCAAAATTCAGTTATTGGCTAAATTGGGGTCAGCTGTAACATAATATTGTTCAGCTGTGACATGTATGTTAATGATGGAAGTAAGTTCACTCACTCATTCATTTTATTTCTATTTGATAAGCTTTTCAGATCAAGAGATTCGTCAGACTGCAGCCCAGCAGATTGGATCTATCCCGGATGATGAGTTGTTAGATTATCTGCCGCAGTTAGTTCAGGTAAATAGACTCTGATAAAATATTGCATTGTATGGCAGAAAAGAAGGCAAACATCATTCTTCTAGCTTGCAGGCTGTTGCAAAGTGGAGCTAGTCTTCTAAAAACAGATTTTAGTTTGTCTGGCAAGTCAATAGTGTAATTGTCAAAGGGGGAGATTTGTAGAAGTGGGGCATAAAGATACAATCTTTATGAAAAATACAAAATGGCGAACACAACTGTAGCTGTGAGTTCTCTTAATGTTTGATTTGTCAGACCCTGCCGCTTGTTATGAAGCATACTATATAGGAATCCCCTACTGTACTGGCTGACGCAGTCTGATCAGTGCTTAGACCTACAGACCCAAGGGATGCAACTAGGTTCCCCTGTTGATCTCAGTTCAGTGAGCTCTGTTCAGGAAGTATGAAGCTGGAGCTACATTGCAATCAGGGTGATGTCCTGCACTGGTTAAGTTCAAAGCTTAGAGCTGAAATTAAAAGCAGTCATTAACACCAGCTCAGCAGGAATTGGCAGCTATGGAGAATGGGGGTAAATAGTTGGTGTAGGCTATTTTACCAGGTTATTTTACCACATTATGGTACTACTGTGGTGTATGCTACAGAACATCATCCTCTTTTTTTGCATGTCAGCTTTGTGCCAGGTTGCAACCATGATCTCATGCTCAGGATGGAAAATCATGTTATTATTTGGGTACACAACCACACAGTAAGGAAATCTTTGGTCATAAGCTACAACCATCATTTTGAGATGGATGCAGGAGCATATTCCCAATCATTGTCATGCAGTTGGACAAATTGATCAGATTTTTAAGTAAGTATATGGGACCTTTTAATGGAAGTATTGAATACAAAAACACAAATAACGTGAAGCCAATTTGGTTAGAGCCCAGGTGAAGTAATTGTGTGCACAACACTTCAGAAAGAATGCCAAAGCTTTGCAGAGGAGGTCAGTGAGAGCTTAGCCGGCAGGAAGGACTTCAGTTACGTGAAAAGATTTGAGAATCTTTGATTGTTCTTGTAGCGAAGGAAGCTAAACAGAGAATTGCTGCACTTTGATAGGGTAATTAGATGGAAACTACTTTGTCTGGCAAGTGTGCCAGTAACAAAAAATTAGAGATTTAAAATTAGCGAAAGAACTCGAGGGGATATGAAATGTTACAGTTTCACACACTGGTTTACAAGGATCTGGAATTAGTTACCTGAATTCAGATTCCACAAGGACTTTCAAAGTCATTTGGACATGAACTCAAAGAGGAACAATTTTCAGTACTGTCGGGACAATCTGTGGTGTGGAAATAAATTTCAAAGTGCTAGCAGAGATAAGATGGGCCGAACTGCCTCCTCTTATGTATGATTCATTCATCGGTTTGGGCAGGCTTAATGAAGTAGCTAGTCTTCAGTGGCCCTCTTTTCATATCCTCACCTACTAATGTGGTTAATCTCGACAAAAAAATGACAAATTACATTAACAATCAATCTATAATCATCATTTATGCATGTAGCACCCAAAGTGAAATGTGTGAGTTAGAATGCCAGTGAAATGTTCATTTATAGGATTAGGATTTACTTTTATTTAATGATTTCCGAAGCAGTTAAATACATTTCATATGGATTATATGTTATATCAATGTTTTGTTTTTACAGTTTTGAGATCATTTTTGTAACTTCAACTAATAGCCTTCCTGTGGCAATTTGTATTTTGCATTTCACAGTCTAAGGATATGGGGTAGGCCATTTAGGATTGAGATGAAGAGAAATACCTTTCCCAAAGAGTGATGAGCCTGTGGAATTTTCTGCCACAGAAAGCAGTTAAGGCCAAAACACTGAATGTTTTCAAGAAGGAGTTAGATATAGCACTTAGGGCTCAAAGGATCAAGGGGTATGGGGAGAAAGCAGGAACAGGGTCTGAGTTGGATGCCCAGCCATGATCATATTGAGTAGCAGAGCAGGCTGCAAGGGCCAAATGGCCTAATCCTGCTCCTATTTTCTATACTTCTATGTTTCCTGACCACTGTACATTGTATCCACTACCTCACACAAATCACAGGGAAACAATACAGAGTAGGAATGTGAGGGGATAGTTTCCAGAGGTGTGCCGACAGCGGGTCTGGCACTCAGAGTGATACATCTCCAGCCTGCGATTGCTCGTGATTCCCTCCTTCCCGGGAGCACTGAACTGTAGAGTCATCACTCATAGATGTAATTATTCCAATGCTCCCCTAGCTGGCATCCAGCTCTCCGTAAAAATCAGCTCATCCAAATCTCTGCAGTCCTTACCCTAAAAACTCACACCAAGCCCCCTTCACCCATTGCCCCTGTGCTCACTGACTGGCATTGATTCACAATCTGACAACACCCTAATTTCAAAAGTCTCATCCTTGATTTTAAGTCTGTCTATGAACCTGCCACTCTTTATCACTGTAATCTCCTGCATCCCTCCCATTCTCCAACACTTCTATGCTCCTTGAATACAGCTCTCTTGCCTATCACCAATTTCCAGCACAGCAATATTAGTGACTTTGCCATCAGCTGTACAGGTCCTAAGCTCTGGAATTCTTTTCCCAAACACATATCCCACACCACCCCCAGCCTCTTCACCTCTCCTTCTTTAAAGTCCTCTTTATAAACCCAACTCTTTGAATATTGTTCTGCCCAATTCTCTGAATACCTCCTAATGGTTTGGTCTAAAATTAATAACACTGCTGAAAAGTGCCTCAGGATATTTTATTGCATTAAACGCATTTTAACAATGCTAGCTGTGATGGTTATTGTGGCATATTTAACTGGGGAGATAATTCACTCAAGGCTTCAAAGCATGTTCCTGTGTTTACAGAAATCTAGCTGAAAATTAAACACACCAAAAGGAAAATAAAATGTCCTTTTTATCATATTTTCTTTTATTTCCTCATTTCAAACACTTGATAGTAAAGCTCCTTAATCTGTGATTACTGGACCTGTGATAAGAAACGACTTAGATTTGCAGTCTTGAAGGTCATTTAGCTTCTCACAGTTCTGTATTTAGCAGCCCAACACACAATCAATGGTTACTGAAGCATACGCAAAGACAAACTAACAATTCACAACCAAAAATGCCAAGAAGGATCTGAAGTGATTAGTGGATCATCTATTAACACTCCATTATATAAAACTGCCCTTCAATACTATAATGCAATGTGTTCCCAGCGTTACATTTTAAGATCGGCAACTTTGATTTATTGACTGCCTAAGTCATTAATTCCACCCTGACACTGCCCCCATGTATAAAGTGCTGATTAAAAACTGATATCTAGGTATACATCATTAATGATCACTGATAATCTTAACCTTTGCTAATGCGGATTCCTGATTACACTTGATAATCAAGAGGAGATGGCAGTGTACTGGTAAAGTCACTGGGCCAGTAATCCGAAACCCCAGGCTAATGCTCTGGATCCATAGATTTAAATCCCACCTTGGCAGATGGTGAACTTTGAATTCCATAAGAATCTGCAATAAGAAACTGGTCTAATGGTGATCGTGCAACCATTGTTGATTATCGTAAAAACCCATTTGGTTCACTAATGTCATTCAGGGAGGGAAGTCTGCCATCATTACCTGATCTGGCCTACATGTGACTCCAGACCCACAGTAATTGGGTTAATTCATAACTGTCCTCTGGGCAATTGGGGATGGACAATAAATGCTGGCCTATTCAGTGATACTCATGAATGAATTTTTAAAAATAATAGGAGGAATGAATCTTATAGATATGTTGGAAACCTATCTGTAACGTTATACTAACAAGCATGTGAGTAGTCACTGGTGGGTTGTGAATGTGTCATATTCACTCTAATGTTTAACATGAGATGAATGATTTTTGAGCATCTCTAATTAACATTTTAATGAGGATGTAGGGTGTTGTATAAGATAATGATCTGAAAGGGTTAATGCTAGGGTGGCATGGTAGCAAGATACTGTTTGGAGAGCTGGTTCAGGCTCAATGTGCTGAATGGGCTTTATCTGCACTGTAGGGATTCTATGATTCCACTGTATTAAGGTCCACCTAAACTGCTGATGTCACAAGGACAAGGAGTGGGGAATAACAGAATCAATCTGTGTCTTGAAGGAGACGCAGCTACCACTAAGATTTTCTATCTCCTGTATCATATCAATGCAACTTGTTCCTGATCTTTATCATGCCATAAACTACATCTTCTTTGAGACAAAAGCCCCTTTTCTTTAGACTACCTAATGGTTTCCTCCACCAAACGGACAAAGCAGATCATATTTATCCCAAACTAAAAAGAGAATGCTGGCAGTAACTCTAACTGTTATTAGCCAAGTGTTCATCATAGAACATGGTGAGCAATGGTGGTGCTTTGAAGGATTAATTTTCCTGCACAATTACAACAGGGTGCCTTTGACAAACTCTGAAATACTACATACTTGTCGCTGACATTTGTCAAATACAAATTGCCAATCATGATCTCAGAGGTTTATGAGGTGAATCGTAACATGGGGGTTATGTTAGTGACTGAAATTGGGAATGTCGACTGGCAAACTGTGTATCAAATGCAACAGTGAATTTTTAAATTCCTATGCTACTTTTAACAGGCAGTAAAATTTGAATGGCATCTTAATAACCCCCTTGTGGAACTTTTACTCAATCGTTCAATCAGGAATATTCGAGTTGCACATCATTTGTACTGGTAAGTGCAGAGATACCAACTTCTCTTTTCAAATTCAGGGTCAACCATCACTGAAGGCTTCAACAATTCAGAGTGACAATTAGCACACCCCCATTCAGTTAAAACAGGATAAAGTAACACCTCCACTCCCCAGCATTTTGCAGTAATGTATTTTCCACTTTGCTTCTGACTTTGGCATTTTGGGGCCTCTGGTTTGTTAGCCTAGGTGCATTCTTTGCAATGGTTGTCATGCAAAGAGTGTCCATCACTTTTAAGGGAATGCTGCAGACCACATGATTACATGTTTCTTGAGTGCATTTTAAAAAGTCTTCTTACAGGAACAGTTATTGGCCCCATAAACAGCTTCCAACCCTCTGTCTGCCCAATTCTATCCCCACCCTTGATTGCTCACATGCCTACCCATGATCTCATCACTATGCATGAGAACACAGTACTGACTGGTTGGCAACTGGACTCTGATTGGTAGAGGCATAGCAATGGAGAATGCATAATGATGATTGACAGTTAACTGCCACGCTCTGTTTAAATTTAAACAAGGCAGGTTGACAGTGACTAGTCGGAGCATTGCCCTTAGAAATTAACCCAAGGATTGGCTAATCCCTCTGGATACATGGGTTCAAAATGCACTGTGGCCGCTGATGAACTTTAAATTCAATTAATAAAACTTGGGAATTCAGGTAACCGAGGAGAAAATTTGTAAGTAGTAATGGTGGATTTAGACAAGAATGGAAGACATTTGAATGTAGTGTGGAATGGTCGGTCTTATTGGCCTGTTTTTGTTCTATACATCCTGTGTAATCTTAAGAATTGAGAAGTTGTGTTTTAACATAGTAAGTGGAAGCAGAGCCAATAATAACTTTCCAAAGGGAGTTGGACAGAGGAAAAGAACGTAAGAAATGGGAGTAGGAGTGGGCCATTCAGTTTCTCAAACCTGCCCTGTCATTGTATAAAATCATGGCTGATCTGCCCCAAGCTTCAACATGTCAAAAGGAGGAAGTTACAGGGATAAGGAATGGAAAAAAGAGAATGGGACCAATTTCATAGCTTATCAAAGAGCCAACACAGGTATAATGGGCCAAATGGCTTGCTTCTGCATTGTGTCCCTATGATTCCTGTAAATGAAAAGTTTAAAAAATAAGTTATTAAACAATTTGAACAATTTGACTTTGAATTCCATCCAATGATTCAACAGAAACAAGAATGGTTCAATTCAGTACATCACTCACACAGAACGTGTTGAGTGCTTTATTAGTGCAATTCATTTTCTATCATTGACAGTTTGGGTTATCACATACCATTGGACTATGATTAGCCATACATAGTTCTCCATAATAGCAGAAACAGTAAGTCTTTTCCTCACGACCAGTTGATTCTTGCTTATCACGCATTGACACGTCTTTTACCAGTTGTCTACTGGATGTTTTGCCTGTTTATTGTGGTTGTGTTAGAAATTCCAGACTGTGCATTCACAGCATACAGGGAACACTTTGAAGAATGAGGGAACGATTGTACTAAAATAAAACAAAGGATTGCTGATTCTGAAGATCTGAAAAACAGAAATTGCTGGAGGAACTTGTGCTTTTGCACTAGGTCTTCCCCTGCTCACCGGTGCAACTGCCACTCTAACTGCATCAGAAAGTGTTCAACATTGGACGACTTCTGCCATGATGATGAACCAAAGGAAAGAGTAGAAAAGAGCACTGTATGAATGAGTGGCATTCTGCCTTCTGGGTTTTCCCATTCCACAGAAACATTAGGCAAATGGTGCACCTCAATGAAATGGCATTATATTGACCACCCTGTCCCCAGCACCTCAATATGAACAAATGTTTAATCCATGAGGCACTGAGGCCAAATCTGAAGACATTCTTGATAACAACCTGCTGCCAGCACCCAAGGAACGATGCAGATGGTTTATTCAAACTTGTCATTATGTAGGGTATTGTCACTCCAACAACATGAAATTTTGTAGCTTTAAGTGTGTGCATGTTTCTGGTTCCTGTAAATTCACCCATTTGTGGTGACACTAACTTTTGGCAACAGTAAAAAATGGCCAAGATTAGATCAGATCAAAGTGATGCTCATTATGTATCCCTATCGATTTTCATTTCCACTGACGTTAGTTGCAGGGAAAAGTGTCCATGTGTTGAACAATGGACAAATTACTAACAGAGCCATTGTATACAGCAGCTAAAAAAGTGATTCCCGTTGTATTGCTTCCCTGGGAGATGGTGCTGGAGATAACCCAGAGTATGAACTCACACAAAACCTGGTAGAACTTCAATAGCCTGGGTAACACAGAAATGAAGGCCTTTCTTCTCTTGTTCCAATGTTTCATTACTTCTCTGCTGCTAATGATCTATTGCCACATGAACTGCCATTCAGGTCAGTTTATATCTGCTGGAACATGATAAACAAGCTTGGAGCATTGGTGAAAACTAGCACTAAATTACAGAAACTCTCCTTTCCAGACCAAATCAAGATAATTCACAGCTGACTAATTACACAGCAAGTGATAAAAGACATTAAAGTAAGGCTTCACTCAGCAAAATCAATGTTATGCCTTCTGTAGGCTGGAATTGGAAGATTGATGCTCTATACTTGGAACACTCAGTACTGACTGCTCCACTGGCGTTCAAATAGGCTACAATCTGTAATACATCCCCAGCCAGCAGAACAATCTTTTGTTTAGTGTTTATATGCTGGAGAAGAGCCCGTATACTGCTTAATCATGTTGTTTAGCTGAAGCAATATAAAACCAACCATGCATGCACAATCTTGTATGGTGTCCCACTGATATTTGAGTCACAGATTGCAGCTCCAGCTCTTAAAACATCTCCTGGTGGCTGTTCCCAAAACTGTTTGCCTCTCCTCCCACTTTATGCTCCTTTCAGAAATCAGCAGTTATTTGTCATTCTTACAGGGGAGAAAAATGAAGATTTAGTGAATATTATTGGAAGATGTGATGTTGCAGTCTATCACCTTAAGTTCTATCCTGTTCACTAGTTTTGCCAATCTTAGGAACAAGAAAAACTATTAGGAGGAATGCTTGAAGGTGGGTGGACTCAAAGGAAGACAAGTTGTAAGCTTACCTATTTTTCCTAATAGAGATGTTATCACACATCTCTGGAGCAGGTGGAACTTGAACCCGGGCCTCCTGTTTCAAGGGTAGGGACACTACCTCTGCATGATGTAGTGCCACATGAGATCCCCTCAGGTGGTATGTTTAAGAGAGGGAAGAAAATGACTTTCAGATGGCTCCAGATAAAATTATAGCATCACGTAGAAAAGACACAATAGGCCAAATGGCCTTCTTCTCTGCTGGAATCATTCTATCATGGAATCATAGAATGATCTGAAATTCCTGCAATCAGCCCACATTCCAGCTTCTTAATATTTGTAAAGAAATACAAGCTTTGTCTATTGGGATTGGAGGTTGTTGGGAGCAAAGATCACAAACACTGCCTTCACACCACATCGTCCAACCGGGAGATGGTCCTTGCAGCAGTGCACATTGGAGTTGGTGAGGTTCCAATGCAGCTCACTCCCTGAAAACTGCTCTGGAAGTTACAACTTCCAATGGACAATTAACCAGCATCTGGAAGCCTCCAAATAAAACCGACCCAACTCTAAATTAGAGTCAGAGATTTTGGAGGGTACAAACTGCCCTAGCTTGTTAGATACCCAGGAGAATGTAGAGGAATTAAAACTTGCTCTAACTCCGAGGTAGCTACCTAACCTGATCCCCCAACTCACCACTGACACCTCCTCCTACTCCAATTCACACTCAGTGCCACCCACCTCCTCAGACCTAACACCCACTCTGCCAAGCTCAACCTAACACCCACCCTCCCTCGACCTCCTCATGTACAGCAGGCAACACCCTTCCTCATACTGACCCTGTCTCACACCGCACCCTACCACGCCCCCCCCCCCCGATTCCTCATGGACCCAAATTACAGTCCCGCCACACCAAATATGGGTTATTTCCCATCTTAGCAGCACCTCCCGTGATCCCCAGAACCACGGCCCCTGACCAGAACCACCCTGACAGCTCCCGACTGCCACCTGACATGACTCACCTCTGAGCTTTTCACTGTCTTAGCTGTAAACCTACCCAGGCTAACATTTATTGCTCATTCCTAACTGGAATGAAGTGTCAACAAACGTTGCTGTGGGTGTGGACTCACATTTTGGCCAGGCTGGGTAAAGATGGCAAATTTCCTTCTTACAAGCTATTAGTGAACCAGGGCAGCATGGTGACTCGGTGGTTAGCACTGCTGCCTCATGGCACCAGGGACCTGGGTTCAATTCCAGCCTTAGCCATGCGAAGTATACGGTTACAGGAATGGAACGAGGTGGGTCTGAGTGGGAGGGTCAGTGTGGACTTGATGGGCTGAATGGCCTGCTTCTACAGTCTAAGGATTCTATGAATCAAGGTGGATTTTTACAACACTCGGTTATAATGCTAACATTATGCTAACATTTTTTTATTTTGGATTCTTATTAAATGCAAATTTCCCCATCTGCCATGGCAGGATTCAAACGCGTATCCCCAGAATATTAGTTTAAGGTTCTGGAAAACCAGCCCAGCGACTTCAGCAATCTGACACTATCTCCTCAGAGAAAGAAAGCCTGAACTACCCATGTTACAGTAATTGACATCCAAGAGTACAGCAAAGAGGAAGTATTTGGGGAGGGGGGGTCATTAAAGAATTAGTGACTTAGGACCAAGATGAGGAGACTGTTTTTCACTCAGAAGATTATGAATCTTTGGAATTGTCCACCTGACAGAAACCATTGAGTATGTATAAAGTAATGATTTCAAAACACCACTGAGGTAAAGAGATAGGAGGATAGATTGGGAAAAAAATGCACTGAAGGGAATGATCAGCCATGGTCATATTGAGTGGAGGAGGAGGCTCAATTAGTTAAATGGCCTAATACTGCTCCCATGTTACTATATCTGCCTGAGAACATTTCTCCAGTATTTCCTTTTACAAATCCTGCTCTTGTACATGTTTATTTGTTGTTTTCAGCCTGAGGCAAAGGAAATTTTAATACATTAAGCACAACCTGGAAAATTCACTCAAAAACTAACAGCAAATGAAGTCTTTCCACGCTTGCCCATTTTAAAGGAGATTTTGGTTGACATATTTTAAATAGGCTTGTGGCTTAATTAGATGAGGGGACGAAGAACTGTCACATAAATTTTTCAACCAACCTCACACCAATCAGCAGCAATCAGTTCAAGCCTCATGTAGTTTGGGAATTGGTCAGAGACTGAAGGATGTAAAGATATTTATTCCCCATCCCTCAAAGGACTCAATAATACTGAGTCAGCACAAAGTTAATAACAAAATTCCCTGCTCAACCTTCCTCTGACCTGCCACGGAGTCCAGGAGGACGACTGACGGAATTATTGCCAACTGAAATTATTTTTGGCGTGAGAGACCCTGGAATGTTGTAAAAAGAAACCAAATAAAGCACCAATTAATTTCCTCTGAAACGAGCTGGATAATAAGGTCAAGGCTTTCCACCATTGCAATTGCTGGCCCATGATTTTCTGTCTACTTGCATTTTATAGAGGGAAAATTGTCTCTTGTCAAGCTCTAGAGCCAGCTCCCAGCCTGTTAAAGGTAGTGGACACAAAAAGTAAACAAAAAGGCAAATGGATTTAGACATGATCTTAAAGGCATACCACATTTGGAATACTACATTCACTTTCACTCACCAAACCTCAGAAGGTATATATTTAATTTGGAGGAGGAGGAGCGGGGGTAAGCCTGCATATTCACTAGAATGAAGGACTAAACTATGAGGACCGAAAGAACTGTGGATGCCGAAAATCAGGAACAAAAACAAAGTTGCTGGAAAAGCTCAGCAAGTCTGGCAGCATCTGTGAAGGATAAAACAGAATTAACATTTCAGGTCCAGTGACCCTTCCTCAGAAACCTTCAGCTTTTCCAGCAACTTTGTTTTTGTTGTGATTAAATTTGAGGATAGTGTACATGTCTAGTATGTCCTTTGATGAAGATTGAGGTGTTTACCTGAGGTGTTTACAACATTGAAAAGATTCAGTTGGAAAGACTATTGCTTTACTAGACCAGACAAGAAAAAAGGGAACATAATTTTAAAAATATAACTTGGCCATTTAGATGGGAATTCAGGAAGCAGCTCTTTATACTAAGGATAGCAGAAACCTAGAAATCTCTTCCCAAAATCCAGTGGATGCCGGTTCACTTGGAGATTTCAAGACTAGCATAGCTTTTTGTAAAGTGACAGTATCAGGGAATATGGAGCTAATTGAGAGGCTGGTAAAGCAAATTACTCTTGATCTAACTGAATGGCAGAGGAGGCTCAAGGGTCTGAATGCGCTACTTCACTTCTCAAGTTCCTTCAGCAGTTTCTAATTCCATTACAGCTGCCAACTATTCTTTTATGTACTTCAGATATTTCCCCAGAGTAAATACGATCCAATATCTAATGCTGCAGAATATTTTGTTCCCTCATAGCAGAATTTCTCAAGCTGTTGGAAAGGTTTCTGTGTATATTTTTATGAGTCAGTCACTATAAACAAGTGTGTTAAAATGTATTGGTGATTAATCATAAATATTCAGCATTGGTTATAGAGAAGAGATGTGACTGTTTTGACAGACAGTCATTAATGTCTATTTTAACACCAAAAGACTGCTCCTTTGGGAACCATTTCCTCAATCAGAATCACAGAATTCCTACAGTGTGGAGGCAGGCCAGTCAGTCCATTGAATCCACACTGACCCTCCAGACAGCATCACTCCCAGGTCCACCCCTCCACTCTATCCCTGTAACCTTACATTTCCCATGGCATATCCTGAACACAAAGGGTAATTTAGCATGGTCTAACCTAACCTACACATCTTTGGATTGTGGGAGGAAACCGGAGCAAAACCACACAGTTACAGGAAGAATGTGCAAAATCCACACAGACAGTTGCCCAGGAATTAAACCTGGTGCTGTGAGGCAGCAGTGCTAACCACTGAGCCACTCTTAAAGTATGCCCCCTAATTCTACAATCACCAGCCAATGGAATTAGTTTATCTTTGTCTCACCTAGTCTTTTCTTGAAGACTTTGATCAGTTCACTGCTTAACCTTCCTAACCTGGACAAGTTCCTTGACACCACAGGACAATGTAGCATGGCCAATTCACCTAACCTGCACATCTTTGGACTGTGGGAGGAAACCGGAGCACCCAGAGGAAACCCACACAGACACAGGGAAAATGTGCAAACTCAGACAGACAGCGACCCAAGGCTGGGATCCAACACATGTCCCTGGTGCTGCAAGGCAGCAGTGAAAATCTGTTCCACCCTGCAATTATATTGCAGAACTATTCTCAACCTTGTGCTTTTAAAATAAATGCTTGACATTCCAGTATTCCTGATTTTTGATGTGCATTCTGTCCATGAAGAGCAAACTCAAGTGAAGATTATTCTTTGTGTCCATTGCAGGTTATTGAAAGATGCATTGGCAGACTTTCAATTTGAGGGTAGGTACAGCCAGCTGTTAACAGCTGTGCTCTGTTGTTCAGGACAAGCCATGCGAGAAGAATTTGACAAAGAGACCAAGCTTGTCGATAAATTGGCTGAGGTAGCAGAGAAGATCTGGGCAGCTGACCAATCAAAGCGTTCGGTGAGTACCAGCGAGATTTGTCCAAGGGCACCTTTGGTACGTTTTCCTTTCATTCATGTGTTGTGGGCATTGCTGTCTGGGCCAGCATTTATTGTCCATTGCTAGTTGCCCTTGAGAATGTGGTCGTAGTGAGCTGCCTTCTCGAACCACTACGGTCCATGTGCTGAGAGTATCCCTAGCGAGCGAGTTCCAAGCTTTTAATCTGAAGAAATGTCGGTATATATCCACGTCAGGATGGTGAGAGACTTTTGAGGGACTTGCATGTGGTAGTATCTCCATGTATCTACTGCCCTTGTTCACCTAGATAGAAGAGGACTTTGAAAGGTGCTGTCTTACGAGCCTTGGTGACTTTCTGCAATGCCTCTTGGAGATAGTACACATCACTGCTCCTGAGTGTCGATGGTGGAGGGAGTGACTGTTTGTGGATTTGGTGCCAATCAAGTCCTGGATGGTGTCAAGCTTCCTGAGTGTTGTTGGAGCTGCATCCATTCAAACAAGTGGGGAGTATTCCATTACAATCCTGACTTGCGCCTTGTTGTTGGTGGACAGGTAGGGAGTTAATTGCTACAAGAGCCTCTGACCTGCTCTTATAACCACTGTATTTGAATGGTGAGGCCAGTTCTGATTCGGGTCAATGATAACCCTAAGGATGATGATAGTGCGGGATTCAGTGATGGTTCCTTGCCTGGCATTTGTGTGGTACCTGTTTGTCACTACATGTCAGCCCAGGCCTGCATAGATCTTATTGCATTTGGACTTGGACTGTTAAGTATTTGAAGAGTCGCAAATGGTGCTGAACATTGTGCAGTCAGCAGTGAACATCCCCATTTCTGACCTTATGTTGGAAGGAAGATAATTGATGAAACAGCAGAAGATGGTTGGACCTAGGACACTACCTGTAGAACCTCTGCAGAGATGTCCTAGAACTGAGATGACTGGCCTCCAACAAACGCAACCATCTTCCTATACTCTAACTAGCAGTGACTTTCTTCCCTGAGTCCCACTAGGTCCAGTTTTACCAGTGCACATGCAGAGTCAAATGCAGCCGTAATGTCAAGAGTAATTGCTCCCACCTCCACTCTAGGATTCAGCTCTTTGGTCTATCTTTGCACTAAGGCTGAAATGAGGTCAGCAGCTGAGTAGCCCTGGAGAAACTCAAACTGAGCATCAGTGAGTAGGTTATTGCTAAGCAAGTGCTGCGTGATACCACTGTTGACAACCCCTTGCATCATGCACACCCTATGCAAAGGCCATTTACTTGACAACTGATATCAGGAATAAGAGAAAGCCTGTTCACTGCAAACTGAATTACTTTCTTGTTTAATATGAAAACCATATCTGATTAAAATCATCCTTTTTATTAATTTATCAGATACTTTCCCAATCTCCAAGCATTTCCTGCCTCCTCTAGAAGGATTGAGCATATGGACACCAGCTGTTGTCCGGTAACTTGATAACTGGCCATTTACATCCCTTCCACCCATTCTGCTGTGATTTCTGTGTTCATTTGCTTACAGAAGTTGTTCCGAAAGTGTTAATATTATTTATAAGTATTCCACATCAATGCTGGATCCTGGTGAGAGGGAGGGGCTGTGGTGCAAGGACTCTCTTGTCCCAGGGTAGGAATGGATACTTGCAAGGATACTGTCTCCCTGGCAACTGTCACTTTGTCAAGAGAAGCACAGACTCTCAGAGTTCGCAAACTATTCAACAGCATCACAGCTGAGCCTCATGCTGACCTTATCTGAATCCAGCAACGGATACAAGTTGGGAGCAGGAACTTGGACAGACTTTTTCCTTCTTTCTTCCTTGCCTAAATTGTAACTATGTGCAGGCCTGTCCACTACCCCAGCAGAGCTGAGCTAACGGCAACAGGTTCCAGCTTTCTGTGACGATATTCGCAGTGAAGTGAAGACATTTGACAGTGCTCCTCATTGAGGTACACATAGCCGAAATGCTCGCCCTGCACACTATATGGATGGGTTTTCCTACTGAGAGCCATACTTCCCTTCCTGCTCCTCTGTTTCTCCCTGTCGTTCTGTTGCCCAAGCAGAAATGCAGATGTCTGGACTCATGTCTGAGAACAAGTAGCCTCTGCCGAATCCTCAAAGGTGGTACAAAGTCATTCAGGACATGCCACACAATTTGTTGGAGACTTTGACAATTTTGAACACCTCTGGAAACTACCAAATACTTCTAACATAACAGGAACAGCCAATAAAAGTCAATCAGCAACTCAACTAAAAACAATTGACGATTAGTTGGGATAGCTGATAGGGTCTCCTTCCAGTTGCTAAATACATGTTCAGCTATGCAAGGTTAAAAGTGGAAGTTACAGGCTTATCTGCTTACCCTGCATAGTTCCAACAGTAGTATCCTAAAATGTGCTACCATCCTTACCAAAATAGAGTCAGGATCACTAGCAACAGAAATGGTGCATGAGTTGAAGACAAAACAGCATTCAAAGCACTGGAAGCCATAGATACTACAGAGCCAGATTTTGCCCCTCATGGCAGATGTGTTCAGTATTATTTGCTCTTTTCTGCTGCACAACTATCTAAAGCATATAAAAATTCCAATTGTATAAAACTTAAAAATCTGACAGTTCCATGAACTCTCTGATAGCTCTTCCCCATTAAAAAATTCCATATCCATGTTACAATGCAATTACACCATCTCCCCAGCAGAACGTGTACAAGTTCAGACAAATCAACTCTTGTACATAACCTGGGAAAGTTTTGCAGTCTCTTGAGCACAGTTCACTGTTGGGAAATAATGGATCACTGAACTTTTTCTCTGTTTCCCATTGCTGGCATTCTCACTATATGGAAAAGGAATGTGCCCATTTCTTTTCTAGTACATTGGTTGTTTTGACTATTTTGCCAAGGGCATATTTTAGTTCCATTCTTGCATTTGAAATAAAGACTCTTTCTTTTACATGTTACAGACTTTATTAGTGAAAGAGATTGAAGAATTAGACAAATTCTTCTACCAGGAACATGTCTGCCGCCTGCCATTGAATCCTGTATTTGCGGTCAAAGGTATTGATGCCAATGTGAGTTCACATACAAAGAATCTGCGGTTGCCTCATGATTTACTTTTGAATTTGATCTTGGTCACCTGAGGTTCTGGATTTCTGCACAACCCTTAATGTTTTCTGTTTCTTTCTGTCCCCTTAATAAGCAATGTGCAAAAAAAAATTGCCTTTACCAGGAACTGGAAGTCAGTGTTGAAAATCCAAAAGCTTATTCACTTGACTTTAGTTACAACAAGTTCATAAATGTGATTAATTGGGAGTTCTTTGTATGACCACTATTGCATGTTTTATATTTTGGGTTGATGCAGAGAATGACTCTAGTGTCACTATGTGTGTCAGGTATTATTTACTGATTTTATTTGTATATTTTTTATTTAATTTTTATTTAAAATTCTAGTCCATGCTCCAGCTCCATCTTCCAACTCTTTCTTTAGATCTGTTTACTTTTCTTTGAGTCCATACCCAGGTTTAACCAATCAAGGACAGTGAGCATCAACAGTAAAAAGACATACATAGTCAAACACAGAATAAATGAACAGTACGACCACTGGGCCACAGAGCGGCTATTAGAAGCTTTTGTAAAAGGCCATTGGTTTAATATATATTTGAGGTAGTTATTTGAATATAGATAGATCTAATTGATATTGCAGAATTTGATTTTGAAACTTAGTAATAAACAATTGGTGACTTAATTGGATTCTGTGCGATCAGTGGGCAGATTTTAAACTGAAATTAAATTAATTGCATTCTCGTTGGCAGAAGTACATGTGAAATTGCAGCAAGTCTATACAGGTGGATATTATGAGTTGGATCCAGCAGTGATTGGTTTATTGGCCATTGTCTTTCACGACTATTATTGATAGCCTGGTGTAAGTGCATTGTAGGTTGCACAAGAACTAATCACAAGTTTGTAGATGGCACAAAGATTTGTACAGATTTTGGAATCTTAAAATGAGCTAAAACATTGATTAGAAACATGTGGCTATGATGATGAAACAGGCTTACATCTGTGTTAACAATGTGAGCAGGAATAATGCCAAGCATGTATATGTGATGCAGAGTTAGGAGCTTAACAGTGTCAAGTGGAAATAAAACCAAGATGCTGTGGCAGGTGAATCTCTAAAGATTCATGACTGGAATCGTAGAAGTGTTCCAGTGCAGAAGAGGGCATTTGGCCCATCATGCCTGCACCAACTCATTAAATGAGCATCATCACTTAGTGTTAATCTCCTGCTTTTCCCCACACGTGTGGATTATTTTTATCCAAATAACCATCCATATTGTATGCCACAATTCAACCTGCCTCCAACACACTTACAAGCAGAGTATTCCTGACCATAATTACTCACTGAGTGAGAAAGGTTTTCTTCACTTCATCGCTGTTTCTTTTGCAGATCACTTTAAATCTGTGCCCTCTTGTTCTTGTTCAGACCCTTCTTCAGAAATGGGGGAGGGGAAGGGGATTCTGAAATAAATAGGGAGAGAGGGGGAGGCGGATAGAAGATGGATAGAGGAAAGGATAGGTGGAGAGGAGACAGACAGGTCAAAGAGGCGGGGATGGAGCCAGTAAAGGTAAGTGTAGGTGGGGAGTTAGGGAGGGGATAGGTCAGTCCAGGGAGGACGGACAGGTCAAGGAGGTGGGATGAGGCTAGTAGGTAGGAGATGGGAGTGGGGCTTGAGGTGGGAGGAGGGGATAGGTGAGAGGATGGACAGGTTAGGGAGGCGGGTACGAGCTGGGCTGGTTTTGGGATGCGTTCGGGGGAGGGGAGATTTTGAAGCTTGTGAAATCCACATTGAGACCATTGGGCTGCAGGGTTCCCAAGTGAAATATGAGATGCTGTTCCTGCAACCTTCGGGTGGCATCGTTGTGGCACTGCAGGAGGCCCAGGGTGGACATGACGTCCAAGGAGTGGGAGGGGTGTTGAAATGGTTCACGACTGGGAGGTGCAATTGATTAGTGCGAACCGAGCGTAGGTGTTCTGCAAAGCGGTCCCCAAGCCTCCGCTTGGTTTCCCCGATGTAGAGGAGGCCACAACAGGAACAGCGGATACAGTATACCACATTAGCAGATGTGCAAGTGAACATCTGCTTGATGTGGAAAGTCTTCTTGGGGCCTGGGATGGGGGTGAGGGGGGAGGTGTGGGGGCAGGTGTAGCACTTCCTGGGTTGCAGGGAAAAGTGCCAGGGGTGGTGGGGCTGGTGGGGAGTGTGGACCGGACAAGGGAGTCACGGAGAGAGTGGTCCCTCCGGAAAGCAGATAAGGGTGGGGAGGGAAAAATGTCTTTGGTGGTGGGGTCGGATTGCAGATGGCGGAAGTGTCGGAGGATGATGCGTTGGATCCGGAGGTTGGTGGGGTGGTACGTGAGGACGAGGGGGATTCTGTTTTGGTTATTGCGGGGAGGGGGTGTGAGGGATGAGTTGCGGGAAATGCGGGAGACATGGTAGAGGGCGTTTTCGACCACTGTGGAAGGAAAGTTGCAGTCCTTGAAAAACGAGGACATCTGGGATGCCCGAGAGTGGAATGCCTCATCTCAGGAGCAGATGCGGCGGAGGCGAAGGTGTTGGCAATAGGGGATGGCCTTTTTGCAGGAAGGTGGGTGAGAGGAGGTGCACCGTAGGTAGCTGTGGAAGTCGGTGGGCTTGAAATGGATATCGGTTTCCAGGTGGTGGCCAGCGATGGAAACAGAGGGGTCCAGGAAGGAGAGAGAGGTATCGGAGACAGTCCAGGTAAACTTAAGGTTGGGGTGGAAGGTGTTGGTGAAGTGGATGAACCGTTCGAGCTCCTCGTGGGAGCATGAGGCAGCGCCGATACAGTCATCGATGTATCAGAGGAAGAGGTGGGGGACAGGGCCAGTGTAGCTTTGGAAGAGGGATTGTTCCACGTATCCTTCAAAGAAGCAGGCATAGCTTGGGCCCATGCGGGTACCCATGGCCACCCCCTTTGTCTGTAGGAAGTGGGAGGAATGGAAGGAGAAGTTGTTAAGGGTGAGGATGAGTTCAGCTAAGCGGATAAGGGTGTCAGTGGAGGGGGACTGGTCAGGCCTGCAGGACAAGAAGAAGTGGAGGGCCTTTAGGCCATCTACATGGGGAATGCAAGTATATAGGGACTGGATGTCCATGGTAAAGATGAGGTGTTGGGGACCGGGGAATCAGAAGTTTTGGAGGAGGTGGAGGGCATGGGTGGTGTCACGGACGTAGGTGGGGAGTTCCTGGACCAAAGGGGAGAAAATGGAGTCGAGATAAGTGGAGATCAGTTCGGTGGGGCAGGATTTCCTTTGTCTCCGCCGCATCTGCTCCCAAGATAAGGCATTCCACTCCCGGACATACCATGTCTCTCGCATTTCCCGCAACTCATCCCTCACACCTCCTCCCCGCAATAATAACCAAAACAGAATTCCCCTCGTCCTCACGTACCACCCCACCAACCTCCGGGTCCAACGCATCATCCTCCGACACTTCCGCCATCTGCAATCCAACCCCATCACCAAAGACATTTTTCCCTCCCCACCCTTATCTGCTTTTCGAAGGGACCACTCTCTCCGTGACTCCCTTGTCCGCTCCACACTCCCCTCCAGCCCCACCACCCCGGCACTTTTCCCTGCAACCACAGGAAGTGCTACACCTGCCCCTACACTTCCCCCCTCACCTCCATCCCAGGCCCCATGAAGACCTTCCACATCAAACAGATGTTCACCTGCACATCTGCTAATGTGGTATACTGTATCCGCTGTTCCCGATGTGGCCTCCTCTACATCGGGGAAACCAAGCGGAGGCTTGGGGACCGCTTTGTGGAACATCTACGCTCGGTTCGCACCAAACAACTGCACCTCCCAGTCGTGAACCATTTCAACTGCCCCTCCCACTCCTTAGACGACATGTCAATCCTAGGCCTCCTGCAGTGCCACAACAATGCCACCCGAAGGTTGCAGGAACAGCATCTCATATTTCACTTGGGAGCCCTGCAGCCCAATGGTATCAATGTGGATTTCACAAGCTTCAAAATCTCCCCTCCCCCTACCACATCCCAAAACCAGCCCAGCTCGTCCCCCCCTCCCTAACCTGTCCTCCCACCTATCCACTCCTCCCACCTCAAGCCCCACCCCCATCTCCTACCTACTAGCCTCATCCTGCCTCCGTGACCTGTCCGTCCTCCCTGGACCGACCTATCCCCTCCCTAAGTCCCCACCTAAACTCACCTTTACTGGCTCCATCCCTGCCTCCTTGACCTGTCTGTCTCCTCTCCACCTATCTTCTCCTTTATCCATTTTCTATCCGCCTCCCCCTTTCTCCCTATTTATTTCAGAATCCCCTTCCCCTCCCCCATTTTTGAAGAAGGGTCTAGACCCGAAACGTCAGCTTTCCTGCTCCTCTGATGCTGCTTGGCCTGCTGTGTTCATCCAGCTCTACACCTTGTTGTCTCAGATTCTCCAGAATCGGCAGTTCCTACTATCTCTGTAACAATTTTAACCCCTCTTGTTCTTGTTCCTTTTACGACTAAGGGCAGTTTCTCTCTAACTGTTATAGCTGGCCCACTCATGATTTTGAAAACGTCTGTCAAATCTCCCATTAGCTTTCTAATTAGCCTTCTGACGAGTGCCACAAGACTATTGGAAAAGCAAATACAGTAGATGGTATGATGTACTCTCAAGACGATTAAATACAAAACAAAGGATATTATACTGTCCTTGAATCAGACCATGATTTAGACTCTAAATATGCAGGAGTTCGAAATGTTTTCAAGGAGGAACACTAGACTGATAGTTAGTGTAAAGACTGTTACTTCCAATGAATGTCAGAGAGTGTAGGGGTTGCATTTTTTGGAGGTGTGAATTGGGAGTAGAGAAATTTCCCGGCATCACTATCCTGCTTCCATCCCAGTAACACAGTTAGTGGGATTTTCATCAGGGAGAGCTGGGATCAAATTCTTTCCCCACCAATATGGAGGAATGGAAGTGTAGACAGAGGCTCATGCTGATACAGCATTCCCTTAGTACTGCATTGAAGTGTAAACCCAGATTAACTGCTGAAATCCCAGGTTTGGGTTTGCAACCACAGTGGCTTTGAGATGAACAAACTAGCAAGGAAGTAAGCTGACACTTAACTGGAAAAACTGGAAGGGTAAGGTACTTAACCATAGTTTCTTCTTTTTATTATTTAGGGAGTGGCACATAAGTGAAAAGCTCCTCTAATATTCTGGCTTAGTCAGCGTTTCAGAAATCAAAAACAGAACAAAAGGCAGCTCTGAGGGGATGTCCTTTTGTTGTTCTGTGGAATCAAGCTGCAGGTGTTTATGACATTGAGAAACATGATTAAATATTAGGAATCAGTACTTTCCTTTATATGTCCTAGTGTGATGCGTGCACAGAATTTAGTGCAGGTTAGTGTATGAGCAGCAGAGTTTCCAATGTGCTCAAGTTTAACGGAGAGTGAGAGATGGAAACTGGCCAGAAAAACAATGGAATTGTCCAGCCTAAAAGTAACAAAATCATGAAAGAGCATTTCAGCAGCAGATGCATTGAAACAGTGAGAGAGGCAGGTACCTTTACAATGGGGGAATTGATGGAGGGACAAAGTGGGAAGCTCAGGTTTGAGTCAGATAAAAAAAAAGGCATGTTCCTCATATTCATCCCTCAAGTAATAGCACTACAGGAAAACAAAACTGCTAATTTACCTTTCCCAAACTGAGTGTGGTATTTGCCTCCTAAATATTGACTGCATTTCTAAAGTATTGTGGAGTACTTTGTCGTGTCCTGGAAATATAAAACACTATATAAATAAAAATTCCTTCTTTTAATTGTTGTAAAAATCACTGGTTTGTTCCCTTATTCTTTGATGGAATGTGGACACCACTGACAAAGCCAATATTTGTTGTTCACAACTGCCCTTGAAACTAAATGGTTTTGCTGAGCTATTTCAGACGACAATCAAAAGTCAACCACATTGCTGTGGATCCAGCATCACATGTGGGCCAAACTAAGTAAGGATGCAGATTAGTAGGAACTGCAGATGCTGGAGAATCTGAGATAACAAGGTGTAGAGCTGGATGAACACAGCAGGCCAGGCAGCATCAGAGGAGCAGGAAAGCTGACGTTTCGGGCCTAGACCCTTCTTCAGAAAGATGGGATTTTACAGCTAACAATTTTCATGATCACTGGTACAGACGTTGAAATCCACCTCACTGTCAACCTGATACACATTCTGATCATCCAGAACCATCTGAGATCCCTTGGGTAGCTTCAAAATCACCAATCCCCCTTACTGGGATTAGTCTTAAGTACTGATACCACATAGGATGGAAGGTCCTTGTAGTGATTGTAATGAGGTCAGCCAGGTGGACCTCATAGAATATGAGTTCCTTGATTGGGGCTGTTAATCTGGTCCAATCGGGGAGCCCTGGCTAACAGATATAAACAGGAGTGTCAGAGGTTCTGTTCACTCTCGTAGCTGGCTCTAAGGAAGCCGGACCGTGCCAAGTACCATGCATGTGTAAATAAAAGGGTGATTTGGTGACAGGATACTGGCCTCTCTGGAGTTACTTCAGTCCTCATGAAGTCTTAGGCAAAATATAGGCTCAACTTCAATAAATAGTAAAGGTTTATTACACAGTACTTAATAATTATTTACATTGTATCTGAGATGCATGATAATGTCTTGTGAGACTACCTGGTTCAACATAAGAGCAAGTACACATTTCTGTTGGCTACATAGACTTAGCACTAAAACAACAGATACAAAATGCCTTTTGATGTTCCCAGGATCAGTCCTGTCTACCCTGATAGGCAGAGCTTATTTTGTTGTCAATTAACCCTTTCAGGTACTAACTATCTTATATAACAGTCACCATTACTGTGATTAGCTTTATGGATATTTTCTAATCAAACTGTTGTGCTTTATGTTCCAAATTTCTTAATCGAGTGTAAGTTCTACCAGCCAGCATGGTGGGATCTAAACCCAAGACATTAATCTGGGTTTCGGATTACTCGTGATATTACCCCCACTCTGCTATTTCAACATGAATGTGAATGAACAGCAAAGTAATTCAGAGATAGTAGGAACTGCAGATGCTGGAGAATCCGAGACAACAAGGTGCAGGGCTGGATGAACACAGCAGGCCAAGCAGCATCATAGGAGCAGAGAGGCTGACGTTTCGGGCCTCGACCCTTCATCAGAAAAGGGGGAGGGGAAGGGGGTTTTGAAATAAATAGGGAGAGAGTGGGAGGCGGATAGAAGAGGGATAGAGGAGAGGATAGGTGGAGAGGAAACAAACAGGTCGAAGAGGCGGGGATGGGGCCAGGAAAGGTGAGTGTAGGTAGGGAGTTAGGTAATTCCACTGTGTTTCCTTGTGCAACAAATACCCATCAACTAAAAAATACACCAGTGGTAATGCAGCACTCCTTCACTGAAGTGTCACCCTAAATTTCGGATTTGGGTCCACTTCAGAATTTGAACTCACAATGTTGTGGCTGAAATAAATATGTTACCATCTGAGCCAAGACTAGCAGAAAATTGAATAGATTTATCTTTCTGATTGATCAATGCCATTTTTGTAAAACACCCAAAACCTGTCTGAGTCTAAATCTTATCAGAGTTCCAAACTGCAATTTAAATCATTTACACCTCTCCGTTCTCATCAAATCTGACACATTATTTACTGAAAGGGTTAAGTTATCACATTCATCCGATAAAATGGTTTGCTGATTTTTAAATTTGACAACGAATTGAAATTTAATGTAGAATGAAGTGAATTTAATGATCCACATTCTCTGGTGTCTGAAACTTGTCACAAGGGAAATAAATTACAAGTTTGTAATAGCCTTAAGGTCTGCGCTTACAGCAAAATTACTTGAGCCCCACTGCCTCAGCTCTCAATCTTGGATAGCAAGCAGTCGAACAAAATAATTTGTTAGTTGTTTAAATGAGGCACTTTGCTGCGATTAGCTTGACATAGTGATTCAAAACACAGAAATCTCAAGATCCAATGCTTTTCACATGCACTCAGGAATTGTTTCTATAGAAACATCATATGAACCAGTGCAAAATGATTATTATGTAAGTGTGTTTAACTTTCTCCCAGTGCTGGGAGGGTGTGTACTCTATTTACATGGCATATTGTGCTGACACAAGACCTTTTTAATCTCTGTGTGAAATAATTTACAGGTTTCTTTTTCTAAGGTTTCAGCCTAGAAGTTCTGATTGGCATTATCTTAACTGGAAAAGATCTAGACTTTATTGCTTTTTCCTTGGTTAACTATTGCTCAGTCATAGGAAGCGAATAAAAGAGAAATCTGCGTTTAATGCAGCATCTTTCAGGCCCTCAGGACTTCCCAAAACCATTTCATAATTGATCAAATTTATTTCTGAAACACATGGTTGGTTTACAGACAAATATGGCAGCCTATTGGGGAAGATTACAATTGCACAACGGCAATAATAACCAGAATGTCCATTTCTGGAACAGTTGGTTGTGCATTTGTGTTTACTGGGTCAGCAATGGGGAACCTGCAATTTCCAAATATACAATGGAATCTTTTGCACATTCATTAACAGAAAGACAAGGACTCAAATTGCATGGAAAGTAGAACGTCCCATAAAAGGCTCTGTAGGAAACAGAAGTGCCAATTGCTACATTCTATGTTAAGGCTATGCTAGTAGAAAATTGAGCCTACCTTCTATTGAGTCAGAAGCAAAAAGCCCCATCATTGGCACCAGGGTATGATTTGGCCCATCAGTCTTTGTTATAGCAAACCAGTTGGCCCACCCTTTAACTGTATCTGCTTCAAATGTTGCTCAAATCCAAATGTTACCAATTTATCATGATACTTATATTTCTATGTTTTTCTCTTTGTGAAAAAGGCATGTTCATATTTCACGTCAAATGCTGTTCCTCTGAAAATTTCTTTCGTAAACGCAGATCCTTGGGGCGAAAATATAAACGTGATATTCAAGGTATGACTGGAACGATTCAAGTCAGCTTAAATTGTGACACATCGGAAAAATCCTACTTAAAGATCGATAGAGCGGTGATTATTTATGACATTAAAGTTATCCTTCTCTGGTTGTCAGTTTAAATTAATCACTGATAGATTGCGTGAAGTCTTTGTTTTTCACAAACTCAATTGCTAGAATATCAAAATAGAACTTTCTAGAATTGTACTCGATGTTTCGAGATGGATATTCCTGAAAAGATCAACCTGCACCACTGTCACCACTCAATATGACCAACGGCAGTTGAAGTTGCTTTAATTGGTCCAATTACTGTAAAATTGTCAAGACTGAAGAAGTGGCAAATGTGATATGGCATCTAAGAGGGGTAATGCATTATATTTTTAATTTAAGTACCAATGCAGTTGACAAGAAGTGATGGATTGCTTTGCAACAGAACAAAGGAACTAGCTGCTGGAACAGAGTGATAGAATTCAAAAGCAGTGAAGTGTTGGAAACGAGTGGTAGTTTGAAACAGTGTGATAGAAGCGGCATTAATGAAAGAATGAACGCAGAGGGGAGGGCAAATGATTTGAACAAAGCGAGGGAAAGGCCAGAAAAAGGGAAAGGAGGGTGTCATGGGAAGAGATTGAGAGAACAATTGGGAAAAAGAGTGAGCAAAAGGAGAGAAATTAGCACAAAGTGAATTAAGGGTGTAGGATTGGAACATTGAATGAAACCGAGGCAATTGAGGAGTTAGTATTGGAAATCAAATAAGTAGCTAGGAGGGAAGCACTGGGATAGAGGTTGAAGAGGTAACTTAAGAGGCTAATTACAGAGATGTAGCAGATTTCAATTCATAGTGTGCTACAATCTTTTTCATGCCCTGAATGTAAATGACCAAAATTAATTGCCACACTCATCTTTGATTAGAATAGAATAAGTAGTAGCACAATCTCTGCTTTTCCACAGATGCTTTGAGAGCTCATTCAATGACATGATGTTACTATAATAATCTTGTAGATCAGTGAGTATAGCTTCTAGTGCTTACTGTTAAAATGACAAAAGACATCCAGTGAATAAATTTGCATTTATCTTTATAATGATAGCTGCTGAACTAATCTGAACTAAACATTTAAGAATGTGGCTCGCTGGTGAAGGCAGACATAAAGAGACAGCAGGTTAAGATTAGCTCTTATGATGTAAATAGCATACAGATTATCTGCTTTATTTCTTTTGAAGCTTGAAAACCTGGTTAAATATATAGTAAAATCGTGTACAGCCAGAATACTACATGAGGTAAATCTAAGGTATTGCTGGACATGTCAGATCCCAGAATGAAATCTGGCTTGTATGTTTACTTTTGTTTATTGATGTGGTGGTCAGTCACTGAGACATATTCACGTGAGATTGCAGATTTTCCTCAACAACCTAACAGAAGTTTATTACACAAAAGACGAAACCAAAAAAGAAACAAATTAATCTATCACTTAGGGCAACACGGTGGTTCAGAGGTTAGCACTGCAGCCTCACAGCGCCAGGGACCCAGGTTCGATTCCAGCCTAAAGTGACTAATGTGGAGTTTGCACATTCTCCTCATGCCTGCGTGGGCTTCCACTGGGTGCTCCGATTTCCTCCCACAGTCCAAAGATGTGCAGGCTTGGTAGATTGGCCATGCTAAATTGTCCAGAGATGCATAGGTTGGGTTGGATTAGCCATGGTAAATGCAAGGTTATAGGGATAAGGTCTGGGTAGGATGCTCTTCAAAGACTTGATGGGCTGAATGCCCCCCTTACACACTGTAGGGATCCTGTAAAGAAGACAATTTTAAAATAACTTAAAACACAGCAAAACAAAGTTTCCTGGAGATAGCAAGAACTGCAGGTGCTGTAAGTCAGAGTCAATACAGTGTGGGGCTGGAGGAACACAGCAGTCACACAGCATCAGAGGAGCAGGAAAGTCGACGTTTCCGGTCGGGATCCTTCATCAGGACTGGACGGGGGTACGGGAGCTCAGAAATAGTAACCCAACATCCATATACGCAAGGCTTTCAACTTATTTCTTATTTCATCTATTCATTCAAAATTCAAGTCCAGAGAAATTGCCTCCCATATTTAAATCTGACCAAACTGATTGTGTCTAGTTTATTTTTTAATTCTGTGAACTGTGGGGTCTTCTTGCATGAATACCTACAAAACTGAGAGTGTAGATATTATCAGCTTCTAAAAACTTGTACATTTCTAACCAAACCCTTCACATCTGGAAGTTGCACAGAGTAGACTTCTGTTGAGGTAACTTATTGTCTGTTATACTCTGAGAACTCCATTCTGGGAGAAAAACCAAACTTGCTTTTGACCCCTATCAGGTCTCCCCCAAACTACCCAAAAGATTTTTAATCTTTTCTTTCTTAAATAAAACCAATCCTTGGTTATCCTGAAATGAAGCTGAGCTAATGGCCTTAAATTGTTTATTCCACCCGTAGTAAGCCACCACAGTATAAACAATTTCCATTAACACTCAACCGGCCGCCTGCTCTCTGACCTTACCCTTTTAAGAAAAAATCCAGAGAAAAGTAACCATACACATATACATAATTTATACATATTTCATCGCACAACTGAAGTCAAGGTCTGATCTCAACAAGCAAGGCATGTGCAGGCTCCTTGAACCATCGTGAACTCCAAAGATAGTGTGGCTAATCTATTTCACTAGAACCATCCATTTTAGTATACTTTTGTAAACTAAAAGCAGACAAAACTCTGAGTATTACCTTTCTCATGTGAAGAAAATTAATTTGCCAGGATATCGTACCAAGTGTAATCTTCAAGAAAAACATGATTTGTGGCCAAAGGACATTTAAACCAGTTGAACGAACATAATGCAATATGTGTTTTAAAGTTAAATATTTCAACATGTTTTAATATTTTTGCGATAGATTCTGCTCTTAATATTTATAATAGAAACTACCCATGTAAACTTGTCATCTTGAAACTACACCTGTCCACCAGTGGTGGCACCACCTCTTTTGAAGACAGCGTAATAGCAACATGCTAATTTCCTGGCCAGTTTCAGTTTTAAATGTCACTGTCAGAAACTAGAATGGAAAATATACTCAATAGATATTCCTATTTGACATAATATGGTTTGCATTTCCCGTGATTGCTGCATTTGAATCGTGTGACAGCGTTCCTAGTTTCATCCTCGTTTTATCCTGCAACACAATAGTATCTCCTTCAACTTGTGCATTGTGTAACATTAAAAATATTGTATCCAACAACACTTCCTGCAAATATCACACTGACGTCCTATTGTTAAATTACATATGCTTCAATACCCTAAGCAGCAATGTAATTGGGGCATCTATTGCATACTTACTGGATTTATGAACTTGTTGGTATTGAAATTTCTTTTCAGTCAGGAGACGACCTTCGACAGGATATGCTTGTTCTGCAGCTGGTTAAAGTGATGGACAGGATCTGGTGCCAGGAGGGGCTGCATATGAGCATGATCATCTATAGGTGCATATCAACAGGAAGGGGAAGAGGTCTGTGCTACAGCATTGTCTTCACTATTAAACATATTAGACCCTTAAAAAATGTATAACACAATGATAAAAAGTTTACATTTTTTGCATAATCAATATTTGTAAGGCCATCCTTGCTGTTGCTCACTATACTTAGTAAAACTTCAAGTGCTTTTAGCAAAGATTTCAAATCAATACTTTTAGCACTACACACAAAAAAGCCAAAATATTTTTACTTCAATGTTTAATAAGTAATGCTCTGCATTTGTTAGGAGTATGATGGTAATGAAAGCAAAAGATATGTTCAACAGAAATTATATGAAATTTTCCATAAGCAACTTACTGAAGATCATGATGTAAATTCAACCCTTACATTTTTGTTTTATTCATTTACGGGATGTGGCATAATTGACTAGGCAGCATTTATTATATTGCCGAGAGAGTAGTTAAAAGTCAACCACACTGCTGTGTGGTCTGGAGTCACATGCAGGCCAAACCAGGTATGGCAGTTTCCTTCCCTAAAGGATGTTACTGAACCAGATGGACTTGTCCTGATAATCAACGATGAAATCATGCTCATTATTAGACTCTTATTTCCAGATTATTTTGCTGAATTCAACTTCACCACCTGCAATAACAGGATATGAACTTGGGATCCCAGAACATTATCTAGGCCATGATCTCCCCATTGGTTACTACTGTATAGTATTGGATTTAATGCAGGTAAAATGTAAAATGTTCATGGCTTTTGTACACTGCTTCACTCAAGCTCTTGTACTCCTTGCAGGCTTGGTGGAGATGATCCCTGGTGCCACAACACTTGCCAAGATCCATATGAAACATGGTATCATTGGGCCACTCAAGGAGAACACTCTTTTAAAATGGTTCCAGGAACACAACCCCTCTGAAGAACAGCACAAGAATGTGAGCATTAATCTTATATTTGCTTCATGAGAAAAAAAAACGATGCTCTTCTACTGCAATAGTATCTTCCTATTAAATAACTAGTGTTTTGGGAGCTGCTTGTAATCAGTTCAACGTTGCAGTGATTACCCTCCATCAACTGCCCAAACTTTATTATTTGCTGTATATTGGACAGGATTTACAACAGATAAAAGCGGATCTTGCATTGAACTTGTATGTTCCACATTCAGAAGAGCACTAATAGATCCTAGAGTTGGATGAATAATGAGATTGCTTAATATTATAAAGAAAATTTCCCAAAATCCATTGTATTTGCAATCCAACAAAGCAAACTGAAGTCAATGATGAGGGAGAATTGAACGCAGTTTTAGAATAAATGAATCTCAGCAAAGGTTCAAAACTGAACCATATTGGTATAACCACAGTGTTCCATTAGGTAAAAACTCAAACAATTGCGACATTCCCCGCAGGACCATTGCTTGAGGTTTTGTTCTACAGAACTGAGTCAACTTCCATCTGTATAATACCCAAAATCTTGACTTCTCCTTTCCTCCAGAAGCTGCCTGGATTGCTGTGTTCTTCCAACCTCCTATTTGTCTACCAACTGAGTTGTTACTGCTAATATGCTAATAAGCCAAGGACCAGAATGAAATCACATTATCAACTGCTATGTGCGATCCAATGGAAGCAAGCTAGAACCTAAATGCATATACAGTACAGTTAACTGTGATTGCAACTTGTAGTCTCAGCTGTTACATAAACCTAGTTTTCGAGTAAACTGAATCCTCACTACTCATTGTGTCACTTACAATTAACATACATAAAACCCAACATGGTGGCAGTGGTGAGGATTTTTCTTAAGAAACATAAGCAGTGATGTGAATTTGCCTCTGTTAGACTGCATATGGCTGTTGGTTATGTGGTTGCATCCTGTTCTTGTCTCATTTGAATATCCATTTGTTAAAGCAACACAAATTCTTCAAGCAATAACACAATTCCCAATCTCCTCAGGCAGCTACCGTTATACACAAAAAGCAGACTGTCAGTAATAACAGTCATTTAGCACTTACAAAAAAGGTTTGGTTAAATACTTGATTGACCAATGACTCCAGAATGAATCATTAACCAGACATTTGTTGATTCCAATGACTGGAAAAGATTCCATGACATGACTCAAAGAAGCACAAGGATCTTGGTCAACACTTATCTCTCAATCACAATAGGAGAGCATGTTAACTGATCAGAAAGTTTTAGAAATACTGATAATTCAAGCAGCATCTGGGCAGAGAGTTAAGGACATTAGGTATTTGTCCTTTCATTGGAATTCAGGTTTCCGTCCACAGCATTTTCCTCTCACATTAACTCATTAGTTATTTTAATATTATTTACAGGAACCTGGTAACCGATTCAGTAACTGATTCAGTAACAGCAGTGACTATAATTACAAATTCATCAGTCATAACATGCCTTAGAATTTCACCCTAATTTTCAGATGTCCACAAATGGTAACAATGCATTCAGCTGCCTAGTGCCTAACATTTAGAATTCTATTTCAATGTTTTCCTAAATACCTTGCAGACCCAAAGAATTGAGACCAATCTTAACTTCCTGAGTTTTCCTAAAGACAATAATAACACAACATACTTTACCTACGCGAAAATTCTGACCCTATTAGTTGATAGTTCTAATGACTCTAACACCTTTCTTCTCTATAATTCATGAGATACAAGAGTCTCTTGCTGGGCCAACCTTTGCTCTCCATTACCAACTTGCCTTGAAAAGTTAATGGTGAGCTGTCTTCTTGACCCATGGCAGTACATGGGGTTTGAGCACGCCACCTGGTGCTACTGTAAGGGAATTTCCAGGAGTTTTACTCAGTCCAAGTGATATAGTTCCAAGTCAGTATATTGTGTAGCTTAGAGGGAACATGCAGGAGTCCCCTCCCCCATTTCTGAAGAAGGGTCCTGACCCAAAACGTCAGCTTTCCTGCTCCTCTGATGCTGCCTGGCCTACTGTGTTCATCCAGCTCTACACCTTGTTATTCCAGACTCCAACATCAGCAGTTCCTACTATCTCTTCATATAGGTCTGCTGCCTTTTTACTTCTGCATAGTGGAGATTGTGGTCTTGAGAGGTTCTGTTGCAAGTTGCTTGGCAGGTTCCTGCATTGCATTGTGTTGATGGTACATACTGCTTGAGTGAATGTTTAAGGTGATGAATTGGGTGTCAATCAAGTTGGCTGTTTTGTCCTGGGTAGTGTCAAGCTTCTTGAAAGTTGTTAGAGCTGCCCTCATCAAGGTACATGGCCCATATTCCATCACACTCTGGTTCTTTTTCTTATAGATGGTGATCAAGTTTTGAACAGTCAGGAAGTGAGTTACTCAACTCAGGATTCCCACTTTCTGATCTGCTCTGTAGCCACAATATCTTTACAACTGGTTCAAGTTTTATCATAACACCCAGGATATTGGCAAAGGGGGATTATTTGATGGTAATGTTGTTGAATGTCAAAGGGAGCACAGACTGAGAATGATACAGAACACTGCATAATCATCAGCAAATATTCCCACCTCTGACCTGATGATGGAAGAAAGATCCTAGATGATGCAGCTGAAGATAGTTGGGCTGAAGATATTACCCTGAGGAACTCCTATAGAGATGTCATGGGTCTGAGATGTTAGGCTTGGAACAACCACAATCATCCTCCTTTATGCTAGGGATGACTCCAACCAGTGAAGAGTTTTCTCCCTGATTCCCATAGACTACATTTTGATAGAGCCCCTTCATGTCACATTCAGCCAAAACTACCTTGATGTCAAAGGCAGTCACTTGCACCCCACCTCTGAAATTAGCTGTTTTATCCATGTTTAGACTAAGGCTGAAGTAAGGAGAGGAGTCAAGTGACTCTGGTGGAACCCAAACCAAGATCAATGAGCAGGCAAGTGTTGTTTGATAGCACAGTTGTGAAGCCGTCCACCATTGTGCTGATGATTGACAGTAGATTGACGGGGCGGTAATTGGGTGATTTGGAGTTATTCCGCTTTTTGTAGCCAGGACACACTTGGGCAATTTTCCATTTTGTAAATTAGATACTAACAGTGTAGTTGTACTGGAATAGCTTGGCAAGGGGGCCCAGCTTGTTCTGGAGCACAAGTTTTCTATCTGACAGATGGAACATTGTCAGGGCCCATAGCCTTTGCAGTAACCAGAGCCTTCAGTTGCATTTTGATAGCACGTGGAATGAATTGAATTGGCATCTTCGAAGATCTCAAGAGGAAACCAAGGCCAATTGTCAATGAGAATTATTCAACTATACTAGTTCAGTCAACAGTAAAACATTACAATGTTTCCTTCATTGGAGAAGTCAACAAAAAATTTCACAAATTGCTTTGAAGTGGGGTTGACTGAAAACTCAATTTACTTAGTTGCAGAGATAGTAGGAACTGCAGATGCTGTAGAATCCGAGACAACAAGATGCAGAGCTGGATGAACACAGCAGGCCAAGCAGCATGCTTCTGCTCCCATGATGCTGCTTGGCCTGCTGTGTTCAGCCAGCTCTGCACCTTGTTGTCTCTTACTTAGTTGCAGTTGAGTCCATACAGGTTAATGTATTCTGTGCAAGTGAATGTTCCTATTCAGTTGTAATATTTTGCACAGGTCTTGGCCACAATTAATCTAGAGGCTGGCATTTGATAGATGTTCCAGTAAAACCTGTGATTAATTTTGGAAAGAAATGTGGGAATTTGAGAGTTGTGAGTACAAGATAGTCACCACATTCGTACATGAGCATGCACAGGGAGGTCTTTCAGTTGCATGCACTGATGTGAAGTCCAGGGACTTAATTTTCAATCCTGGGGGGTCAGGAACCCACCATCACAAACATTTCCAAGAACTGAGCCGACATTTCAACTGCATTACTTATGAGACAATATCTTCAGGTGCACATGGCCCCATTCACTGTGCTGAGCTCTGCCAGAAGGCAGGAGCTGACTATTAAGCTTCATGATGGAGCCTGCGACTACTTTGTAAAATCAAGGGAGAGGAAATCAGTGGGCCAGGAGTAAGAATCCAACTATTGGCACAGAGTAAAGGTGATGAAAAACCTTCCTTTCTTACCACGACACTCCACACAGTCTTACTCAGCGCAATAAAGAACAACATGTACAAACAAAAAGTGTACCACAGCAGTGAGTCAGCGTCAGCCTGGATTATGCACTACACTTTATGGGGTAGATTTTGAGCCTTCTGACTTGAGAAGTGAGAACACTGATAAGTGACACAAGGTTGAGAGTAAGTTTATCAGGGATCATTGGACGTTTGCTTAGACTGTCACATTAATTTGATCTTTCCACGAATCATTGAGAAGGATAGCAGAGGGAAATTTTTAAACTCTTCGAGTTCTTCTTCTTTGTACCATGTATTATCAAATAGGATTCCATCAATCATGCTGAAATAAAACTGTTTTGCTGCTATGCAGGCATTATGGATTCCTGCCTCCTAGCTCTCACAATTGCAGTAGCTCAATCCAATGGTGGGCAAGACCAGTTATTTAGTTTGAACCTGGACTTCTTAGCAGCAAGTCTTGCCCAATGTGTGGATGGTGGCTGGTTTCATGAGGCATAGCTACTGTCTGGGATGAGTCTAGAAACTTCTAAAGATGAGATGTAGGAGCAGAAAGAGGCCATTCAGCCCAAGTCTACTCCACCATTCAATTATATCATCCTGATAATCTTCAACTCCACATTCCTACTTTTTCCCCACAACCCTTTACTCCCTTACTGATTAAAAATCTGTTTATCTCAGCCTTGAATATACTTAATAACCCATCCTCAGCAGATCTCTGTGGTAAAGAATTTCGCATATTCACCACCTTCTGAGACAAGACATTCCTCCTTATCTCTGTCTTAAATGTGCAACCCCTTGTTCTGAGATTATGCCCTATGGCTTGTTCTGAGATTATGCCCTATGGTCCTAGACTCTCCAACAAGGGGAGACAGCCTTCTGCATCTACTCTATCAAGTCCTCCAAGAATTTTATGTTTCAATAAGGTTGCTTTTCATTCTTCTATATTCCAATCAGTTCAAGCCAAAACTACTCAACCTCTTATCATAAGACATTCCCTCGATAGATGGTATAAGAGTCATGAACCTTCTCTGGATTTCCTCAAATCCCATAATAACTTAACCTAGACAAGGAGCCTGAAACTATTCACAATAATCCAGCAATGGTGTTACTAGTGCCTTGTATAATTTTAGCAAAGCCTCCTTATTTTTATGCTCCTTTCTCTTTGAAACAAAGGCCAACATTCCATTTGCCTTCCCTTAGGTGAATATCTAAGTCTGCTCAAATAAAAACCGAAAGAACTGTGGATGCTATAAATCAGGAACAAAAACAAAGCTGCTGGAAAAGCTCAGCAGGTCTGGCAGCATCTGCGAAGGTTCCGAGGAAGGGTCACCAGACCTGAAACACTAACTCTGTTTTTTCCTTCAATGATGCTGCCAGACCTGCTGAGCTTTTCCAGCAACTTTGTTCTTGATCCAAGTCTTTTCGCCAGGGTAAGGGACTCCAAAACTAGAGGGCATAGATTTAAGGTTTGAGGGGAAAGATTTAAAAGGGACGTGTGGGGCAACTTTTCACACAGAGCGTGGTGTGGAGATAGATCAGGCTGCCAAAAGAATCGGTAGAGGAGGATACAACTACAACATTTAAAAGACATTTGGACAGGTACATGGATAGGAAAGGTTTAGAGGGATATGAGCCAAACACAGGCAAATGGGACTAGTTCAGTTTAGGAAAACTGGTCAACATGGGCGAGTTGGGCCAAAGTGCCTGTTTCCTTGCTATATGACTCAATTACCCACTGAATGTGGATGCTAGCTTTTGGAAATTCGTGGACGAGGACTCCAAAATCCCTTTGTATACATATTCATAAACGATGTACCACGACTGATGTTTAGGACTAAGATTTTGTTTCATTTCCTGAATTTAAGGTTTATGCTGCATCATTTATGTATCATTGTTTTGCTCATTAGGCTGTGGAAAACTTTGTAAACTCCTGTGCAGGCTGGTGTGTTGCTACATTCATTCTGGGTATCTGTGACCGTCACAACGACAACATAATGCTGAAAACCACAGGCCACATGTTCCACATAGACTTCGGAAAAATACTGGGTCATGCTCAAATGATCGGAAGCATGAAAAGGTAAGTTCATTTAGCTTTATCTCCAGAGTGTCTCACTGCACACATCCTTGGGGATGGCGTCAAGTCTAAGTCTGGAAGTTTAAACTCAAAATATTGGCTGGTAATCAAGTACAGTACTGAGGGAGTGCTGCATTGTCTGAACATTCAAGTTCAGGGTCATCCATCTGGCTGCTCAGGTGGATATTAGATATGGATGGCATGGTGGCTCAGTGGTTAGCACTGCTGCCTCACAGTTCCAGAGACCTGGGTTCAAGTCCACTCTTGGGCGACTGTCTGTGTGGAGTTTGCACGTTCTCCCCGTGACTGCGTGGGTTTCCTTCGGGTGCTCCGGTTTCCTCCCACAGTGCAAAGATTTGCAGATTAAGTGGGTTAGCCATGCTAAATTGCCCATAGTGTCTGGGGATATGCAGGCTAGGTGGATTTGCCATGCTTAAATGCAAGGTTACAGGGATAGGGTGAGTCTGGGTGGGATGCTTTTCAGAGGGTTGATATGGGCTGAATGGCCTGCTTCCATTCTGGAAGGATTCTATGATATCTCGAGGCAGTTTCTGAAAAAAGATTAGGTGTGTTCACCCAGTTATCAAGCTGATAATTATCTCTCAACCAATATTAATAGAATGGTTGAGATAACACAGTTGTGGAACTGGAGGAACACGGCAGGCCAGGCAGCATCAGAGGAGTAGGAAAGTTGACGTTTCAGGTCGGGACCCTTCTTCATTGACCCAACCCGAAACGTCAACTTTCCAACTCCTCTGATGCTGCCCGGCCTGCTGTGTTCCTCTAGCTCCACACTGTGTTACCTCTGACTCCAGCATTAGCAGTTCTTATTATCACTTAATAGAATGGTTAATGTCTAGTCACTTATCATAGTGCTGTTTGTGGGATCTTGCTATGCATTTTCTAATTGACAGCACTGATCACAATGACCCAGCGGTTGAAAAAGGCAGTTCAACACCACCTTCTTCAGGGCGATTAGAGATGGGCAATAAATATTGACCCTGCCAGTGATGCCCACATCCTGTGAATGACATTTCTTCGTTTTAAAATGATTATACTTCGAAAGTACTTTGTTATTATAAAATGCAGTAGGTGTCCTCAGGTTATGAAAGGCTCTAGCTCTTTTATCATATCAAAGAGTAACATTTCTGTTTATTAACTCAAAAGAGTACAGTCCATATGTTAATCAGGGTTTGTCCATGCTTATAACCAGGGATCGTGTTCCTTTTATATTTACATCTGAAATGGAGCACTTCATCACAGAAGGTGGAAAAGATGGAGCTCGTTTCCAGATGTTTGTGGACCTGAGCTGTCGGGCTTACAACATCATTCGACAACACACTCAACTCTTGATGAATCTACTCGAATTGGTAAGAGCAAAAAGGCACTTTACATTTGTCGAGTTTTCGAAACATCAAGGTCCTCAAAATTCCCAAATCCAAGGAGAAGATTTCCACCTGGTTGTGGTGAGGGTTGAGGTTTTGCACACAATTCTTCTGTTGGTAAAAATTGTTTTAAGATACTAGTAGGTGACTGAATGCAGTTCTTCAGACTTGGTCGGCCTCACCACCTAACCCCTGCACCAACAGGAGCAATTCTTGGACCACCCCAGACGTTCCATCCAATCCACTCCTTAAAAGCCACAAGGGTATCTTCTGATGACTGCAACACAGGTCTGTGTAACTGGGGAAAGAGATGATTGGATGGATGGGGATTGACGAAGTTCCAGACCTGAGCACTGGCATCCCGATAAAACAACTGAAACAAAATGGGGTAATTTTCAACTCACGCACTTTTCGTTTTAATAACAAGAGGCTAGCAGCCCCGGATAACTAGAGTCTGGAAAGATTTCTGTGATAATCCAGACCTATCAGATGTAATTTTCAGATGGGGGTCTAAGTCCAAAATCAGCCAAAGCTGCTGAACTGCACAAGTCAGAGTGCCACACTGACAACGTGGGATGGAATGTGCATCGTTGGGCATCCTAAACCATGGGTCTTTGAGAGGATGCTCAAAAGTGTGCCCAGGTGATGTTTCATTTTTAATTTTGTTGCACTGTTCTTGGGCTCATTAAAATCTCCATCGCACTGCCAGCCTCCCACCAATCTCAGGATCACCTCACCCTCTCGGTTGGATCCAACATGTCAGCCTGCGAATACACTCACTTTCTGCTCTCCCAGTGCTAACAAGCAACAGTAGGCACCCATGACTATCCACAGTTTAGACTATAAAACCCCAACTTTCCAATGGATTTCCACCTTCGTGCAAGGTTTGTTTGTGTGTTTATGTGTGTGTGCGAGTGTGAGAATGAAGTGTGTCTGCAGTGTATGTTTGTGTGTGTCTGTGTGTGTTTTTGTCATGTGTGTTTGAGTGTGCCCTTGTGTGAGTGTGTCTGTGTGTGTTTGAGTGTGTTTTTCTGTGAGTGTGTGTGTGTTTTTGTGTGTGTGTGTGTGTTTGAGTGTGTTTTTGTGTGTGCGTGTCTGTGTGTGAAGTG